ATCACGGAGTTCGGTCGACCCACGACCTAAGTCTCTGCTCCTCACCCTCAAGGAGAATCTCCACTATCAACATAAAAAGCTACACAATCAATTTTCAATGCTCACTGATAAACGTTTATAACTCACACACTTGCAATCACACAATACACCCTCTAAGTGTTGGTCTCTCACGTGTCACCTTCATCAAATATTCGGATTTACCACCTCTCCCTAGTCTTTATAACCCCGTTAGACTGTGGTGTACATGGAGCAGTAAACTCATGAATAATATTGTGTTCTTGGTAATATTCAGTCATATCATTTGAGGTATACCCCCCCCCCCCCCGATCAGATCTTAGAATCTTGATCTTTCTGTCAAGTTGGTTCTCAGATTCAGTTTTGTACATCTTAAAACTATCTAAGACTTCATCTTTAGTTCTGAGAAGATAGGTGTAACAATATCTGGAGTGATCGTCTATAAATATCACAAAATATCTCCTACCCCCTCGAGTGAGAACTCGGTTCGAGTCACACACATCACTATGAATTAATTCGAGAGGTTCGGAGTTTCTAGTTATAGACTTGAAGGATTTTTTAGTGTGTTTCCCTTGAACACAAATCTCACATTTAGATGAGGGATCATGAGAAAATTTGGGAATAAGGTTCAATTTAATCATTCTCTGCAAGGTTTGGAAATTGACATGTCTAAGTCATCCATGCCAAACATCACAAGACTATATAATTTGTGCAACAGAAGACTCAGGAATTTTATTAAAATTGGAATTAATTACATTGAGTTTGAAAAGATCATTACAGATAAAATCTTTTTCTAATGAATACATTATTCTTGGTAATCACAAATTTATTGGATTCCTTTACAATCCTAAAGCCAGCTCTAAGAAGAAGAGATTCACTGATCAAGTTGCAACGGAGAGAAGGAACATGATGAACGCCTTGCAGATGCAGAGCTTTTCCCAGAGGTCATGGTGAGCTCTATACATCCACTTCCTATTATTTGTTTGGTGGAGTCATCTGCTAAGCTTATGTTTCCTCCACATTATTCCTGATAAGTTAAAAACCAAGAACGATCATTACAAATATGAATATTAGCTGCAGAATCCAAGTACCAGTCAGTGGAAGAAGTAAGGGAATTAACAAGATAAGATGAAGAGGCTAACCTGAAGGAAGTTGGATTCTCTTCAATCATATTAACTTTGTTGGATCCATTTCCTTTAGGCGCAAGTTTGGCCGGTTCCTTCTTCCGAAAGAAATAGTTGGGAGCCAGGTGGTTGGTTCTACCAAAGACATAGCAAAACTTTCCATTAGACTTATGGCTAGAAGAGTTGGGATTGGATTTGGAAGAAGATTTATTAAAGGATTGCTGGTTTTTCTTGAATTTCTTCCCTTTGGGTTTGAAATTTCTAGATTTAGGCTTATCATCTACGAAGTTCACTTTAGCTATTGATTCGGTCTTGGTTTTAGAATTTTGCCTATACTGGTCTTCAATACGAATAGCCTTGAGGGCTTCAGTTAAGGTTAAATCTCCTTGCTTGTGTCGGAGATCTCCAGCAAATCCAGACCAGGAGGGAGGGAGTTTATCAATCAAACATGAAACTTTATAATCATCACTAAAAGTGTTTCCTTTTGATTGGAGGTGACGAAAAAAATCTTGGAATTCATGAATTTGTTCATTAATGGGTTTGTCATCAACCATCATGAACTTATTGAAGGAGGAGGACGTGAAACGCAGAATTCCAACATCATCATAGTCATATTCTGCTTCAATAGCATTCCATAGGTCTTTAGCACTTTTGAACTCATAATATATGTCATAGAGGTTGTCTGCAAGTGCACTAAGAATCCTATGGCAACAATAATAGTTGATTTCTTCTGGTTTCATAGAGCTAGAAAAGGAGCTAGCACCAGAACCAGAAGTGGAAGAAGAGGGTTCAGGTTGAGGACCATAAACAGGAGGGTTGGAGGGTTGAGATCCACTGGATGAAGACTCAGGAATTTCTATGGTAGATAGAAGACCTAAGGTGGGGAGCCAGTATCTCATCTGATTAGCCCACCGTTTATAGTTAACATCAGTGAACTTTTTAGGTTTGACACTCTTGGAATGATCAGAATTATCCATAAGTCCAATTTGAGTTTACTAGTCTAGGTATTTGGAATCTGATAGAAAGAATGGTTTTGTCAATACTACTAGATACTAAGGAGTATGACTTTGATTAATAATTGAAAAGAATATTAAAATTCTAATGTAGTAAACAAATTAGACACTAAGGAGTATGACTTTGATTAATAATTGAAAAGAATATTAAAATTCTAATGTAGTAAACAAATTAGACGATAAATGATTTTTAATTAATTTCTAGTTAAAAGGCAACAAACAAACAAAAGTAATTAACAAATAATTAGAGCAATATTGTATATTTCTTTTCTTGTGAACAGTATTTTTTATTTTTTTTAAAATAAAAAACACTTAATTAATACTATTAATTACTAGATAAACCAATAAATAATGAAAGCAATTAGATTAGATGAACAGTAATAAAAATCCTAATAATATTTTTTCTTCCCCGAATTAACAAAATTAGGCAACAAATAAAGCTCTTAATTTTAGATCAAGTTATTTCAGATTTAAATTAACAGCAATAATAATTGTCAATCTTCTAGATTCCTGTCAAATAAGAGAATATTAGTATAAAATCGAAATAAAAAGTTAGAAATTCATGCATGATCAGGAGCAGTCGTGATTTTACTGTCCTAGAAGATTGAGGACCCGCCTATCGCCCTGGTGCAATTGATCCTCTCTC